GTTTCCACATCTTGGCTATTGTGAATATTACTGTATTAAACACGAGAGTACTAGTAAGTGTGCAAGATCCTGACTTCAATTATATTTGATAAATACCCAGAAGTAGGACTGTTGGATCATTTGGTATTTCAATTTTTAATTTTCTGAGAAAACTCTGTTTTCCATGTGGTTTCATAATTTTATATTCTCACCACCAATCATAAGGGTTCAAATTTTTCCATATCCTCATCAGTATTTGCTATTTTCTGGGTGTTTCTGTTTTGTTTTTCATAGTGGTCATTCTAACAGGTATGAGGTGGTAACTCAGTGTAATTTGGATTTGCATTTTACTGATAAGTAATGATGTCAAGCATCTTTTCATATATCTGTTGACTATCTGCATGTCTTCTTTGGAGAAATGCCTTTGTCCATTTTTTTTTATTCAGATAATTTGTGTTTGTTTGTTTTGCTATTAAGTTGTAGCAGTTTTTTACACATTTTGGACATTAACCCCTATCAGATAATATGGTTTGCAAACCTTTTCTCCTATTCCATGCCTTTTCAATCTGTTGTTTCCTTTGCTGTGCAGAAGCTCTTTAGCTTGATGTAGTCCCATTTGTCTATTATTGTTTTTTATGTTGTGTATCCATTAATGTATTTTACAGTTATAGTTTCTTTTATACTTTTGACTTTTAACTCCTAAAGTGATGTATACACTTCTGTTATAGTTTCACAGTATTCTACATTTGTGTATTTTATTATTGTCTTTGTTAGTGAGCTTTAGAGTTTCATGTTGTTTGGCATCTTTTTGCACTTTAAAGGACTTCCTTCAGTATTTCTTTTAAGATAGGTCTAATGGTGATAAACTCTTTCAGCTTTTGTTTATTTGGAAAAGTCTTTATCTCTCCTTTGCTTTTGAAGAACAGTTTACCAGATATAGTTCTTGGTTGGCAGTTTTTTTTTTCTCTCTCTCAGCTTTTGACTATATCATTACAGTCCCTCTGGCCTGCAAAGTTTTGGCTGAGAAATCCACTTAGTCTTTTTTTTTTTTTTTTTTTGAAATCCACTTGGTCTTATAGGGGTTCCTTTGTATATGATGAGTCACTTTTGCTGATTTCAAAATTCTCTCTTTGTGGCTTTTGACCATTTGAGTGTCTTAGGACTCCTATTCCACCATCTTTCTGATGTCACTTCCTGGGTCTTTGCAGATTTAATCAAGTTAAGATGAGACCATTATGGTGGGCCCTAATCCAATATGACTTACAACAAGGTGTTCTTATAGAAAGGGGAAATTTGGATACAGACATACACAAAGGAAAGACAATGTGAAGACACACAGGGAGAAGATAGCCATGTGACTACAATGATGCCAAGGAAAGCCAAGGATGGCTGGCCAAGAAGAAGCTAGGAAAGATGTTCCCCTGGTGTTGTCACAGAGAGCATCATTTGCTTGCTGACAGTTTGATTACAGACTTCTAGCCTCCAAAACTATGAGACAATAAATTTCTGTCATTTAAACCACCTAATTTTTGTTTTTGCACTTGTAATACAACAACCCTAGGAAACAAATACAAGAGCTCCTTTAATAAACTGAGTTGCACTGAGGATTCTCTCCCACTCACCAAGATAATATGCATAGACATAACCACTTCTGAGTGGTTCCTATTCTCTCCACAAGAACAACTAAGAGGTTGGAAAAGGGAATACAAAAATACATCAGGGGTTATGGAGCTAAAATGAATGTTTCTTTTGAGAAATTTGTTGAAGTATCCCAAACTTGAACTTGATAGTGTAATATCAAAAGTGAAATGTCTTGCAGTAGACAGTTGCTTATTATTTCTTACATCCTCAATAATGTCACAAACTCATCTTTTCACCTTGGTGATCTACCTTCTGAGGAATTTTTAAAGTTCTTTTATCTTCCAATTTTTTTCACTTAAATAAACATGGATGCAAGAAGAATAAAACAAGAATTAAACAAATTAAAAAATTATATATAGGAGGGTTGTGACAATTTAAACAAAATATGTTTTAAAGACCCAAATGTGTAAATACCACTATCACATAAAATAGAGTGAAATAGGGCGCCTGGGTAGCTCAGTTGTTAAGCGTCTGCCTTCGGCTCAGGTCATGATCCCAGGGTCCTGGGATCGAGCCCCATATCGGGCTCCCTGCTCCGCGGGAAGCCTGCTTCTCCCTCTCCTACTCCCCCTGCTTGTGTTTCTGCTCTATGTCTCTCTCTGTCAAATAAGTAAATAAAATCTTTAAAAAAAAAAATAGAGTGAAATATAACTGAAATATTGAAATGACCAATCAGCACTGAAATGATTTATATAGCACTTAAAATGTTTCTGCTTCTGAAATAAATATCATATTTATTTCTTGTTTTTCTTTTATTTGTACAGTATATTAGTGGACACTAGTTTTTGCAACAGAACTGAGCCAACACTGAGCTCGACATTCTACTCTTTATGTAAAGCATAAATAAATAAATAAATAAATAAATAAATAAATAAATAAATAAAATGTCCTTTCTTTCTACTAGTTGTAGAAGTTGTAAATAAAACTTCCTTACTTCCTTTCTACTTGCATTTCTAGGACTAGAAGTTCACCTTCCTTTGGTATCTCTTTTTTTTTTCAGAAAGGAAGAAAGTTTGTCATTTCATAAAAGCGGAGAATAAGAAACCAAAAATGTGGTTGCCAGGCCAATTCAAGATGCACTCAGGAGCCAAGTGACACATTCCCATACACAAGTCTCAGGCATAATGTATGCAAATTTCCACATGTCATCAACCTTGAGGTCAAAACCATAATGGCAAATGGTGAATCCACAAATGTCTAGGGACTACTGTAATTAAAGGTAAGCCCTGACTGACAGTAAACACGGATGATGGGATGCTGTCCAAATCATACCAAGAGAAGGTTATCAGGGAATTTGCAAGATAGCTTTCTAAATTGTGGGGGGATGGGGTAATTGGGTGATGGGCATTAAGGAGGGCACTTGATGTAATGTTCATTGGGTATTATATGCAACCGATGAATCACTAAACTCTACCCTAAACTTAATAATTGTTAATATGTTAACTAACTTGAATTTAAATTAGAAATAAATACATAAGTAATGCTGGGACCCTACAGGATAAATGCCACCTGAACAATACTTGGAAGATACCAACACTAAATATCATGCATTAATACTAATTTCATTTTTTTTTTAAATGAAACTAAGAAAAGCAAGAGTATTGAAGAAGAATACATTTATTACTTAGGAGATTTTTTAATTTATAGAGCAATTGGAAAACAATACTTAAAAGTGCATTAGAACATAAAAGCAATAACTTCTGTCCCCGTCAGATCTCTCTAAGAAAAGCGTTCTTTCAGTGTGTGTTCTTTATTAAGAACATTCATCTTCATGCCAATCAGTGCCACCAGTTGGTTTCAAACTCCATGGTAACAACATTAACTACTAGAAATACCAAGAGTAGCAATAAAAATAATAATTATAATAAATGCCTACTTGGGGGAAATTTTCAGCTCCTTCAGGATTTTGATTTCTCCTTTGTCTCACGGAAGCAAATTATAATAATTGTTTTGTCAGTTGCTACTGGAGATCTTTTAACTTCATATCACATCAATTCAGAGATCCCAAGTCTAACTGTCACTCAGATAATGTTAAATAACTGTTTGGGACCCTGCAGGAAGCTGAAGCTTTCTGATTCCTTCCTTTGAGTCCTATGGAATAAAACAGCATTCCCTTGACACAGCACTTCTCCAGTCCCACAATGCCTCAGGGTTATTTTCAATCAGATATATTGAAAGGATAATGCCTTTTACAACAACGATGGGCTGGGAAACTCCGTATGTGAATTTAAGAGCTTGGAGGAGTCTACACAGTGATTTCCCATTCAACAATAACCGACAATTCTTATGTAATGGAGAATAAAATTTTATCAGTAAATGGGATTCATGGGGAATAACGGATGAACTGTTTCAGTAATCAAAAAACAAAAAAAACAAAAAAAAAAACTGTTCTAACTTACCCTTTAAGCCAGTGAATAGCTGTGTAGGAGCAAGAATAAATAATATAGGTCAAAATGGAAAAACAAGAAATTTCTAGAGAGTCCTTTCTCTTTGGGAATTCTATCAGAACAGGGGCAGCGTTTTCCCTGTTCATTACCGCTGCATCTTTAGCATATTACTCAACATGCAGTCGACATGCAATTAACAATTGTTCAATGACTGGAGGAGAGGCATGGTGGCTATCATAAAAGATCTTTATACAGTTATTTTATTTTTCTTTTAAGATTTTATTTATTTGACAGACAGAAAGCGAGCACAAGCAGGGGGAGCAGCAGAGGGAGAGGGAGAAGCAGGCTTCCCGCTGAGCAGGGAGCCCGATGCGGGGCTGGATCCTAGGACCCTGGGATTGTGACCAGAGCTGAAGGCAGACACTTAATGACTGAGCCACCCAGGCGCCCCTACACAGTTATTTTGACACAATCTTATCTTGATATTTTTATTCCACCTGTATATCTTTATTATAGTCCAAAATGAAAGATAGGAGGAAAAGGATAAGTATAACTATTTTCTCCATTAATTAACCATGGTGTTTTGGAACAATACTGTGCTAGGGGTCAGATGACTTCTAGTGGGATGACCCTATCCCTGTCATGATGTGACTATGAATTAGTCAAAATCTGAAGTTCAGAGAATAACATCTTGTAAGAGTTTATTATAGATGAAGTAATCTTAAAAGCAACATATACACTGCAATTAGCAAAAGAAGTATTATTATGCTACTTTGTGTTTATACAGTACTCTAGCATTTATAAAATCCCTCCATTTATTATCACTCCATTTGCTCATCACAATGATGCCACAAGAAATAAGGAGCTCAACCATAAAATAAAAAAACATGTTAACCTTGAATCATCTAAAATAAAACATGGGCATTTTCTAACAGCTTTTTTTTTTTTTAGGGTTAATTGCATACCATACAATTCACCCATTTTTAAGTGCAAACTTCAATGGTTTTTAGTAAATTTACAGTTGTAAAACCACCAAAATCCAATTTTGGAACATACTCATCACCCCAAAAAGATTCCTTGTGCTCATTTGCAGTCACATCTTGTTCCCACCTGCAGTCAACAGAACGGAAAAATAACAAAGAATGTTTTAGTATATATGTATGTCCCACATATTTCATAGGGCATACTTATACCAAATATTTTTTACCATTTATCTGAAATCCATATTTAACCAGAGACCCTGTTTGCCCTACCAAAGCATGGTCTTTTAAAACCTTTTTTTTTTCTTTTTTAGTATTGTTGATGGATTTACACATACTTATTCACAATCCCTTCATTGGTAACAAAATAGGCTTTTATAAGATGGCTGACCAAGGACTTATATTTGTACAATTCTTCCTACATAAATCGCCATTAGAACAACTAAGGAGTTCTAAGAACCGGTATTTCTAAGGAAACTAATCCCCACATCCCCTTTGCATGTGAGGGCAGTTACCAGAGGACTTCAGGCAGAAGGCCAGGCTTTAGGATGTTGTAAGTGTTTACGATTCTACCTGATGTGTCCTGAGGCGGAACATTTCTACCTCTGGCATTCTTTAAGGCACTTCTGCATTTTAAAATTAGCTACAGTACACTGCCTACTTGCCATGTCCAGTGAAGGTGTGACCTCCTACACATTCTGCCTACAGCAGACAATCTGTTCAGGGAATGGTAAATCAAGCAACGCGGGAACCACCAAGAAAAGATTGCTCCACTTTATTAATATTGTCATTGTATTGGAGACCTGAACCTTCAGGCTGGGACTGTTTAGTCACTAGAGACCTGTTTTTTGTTTTTGTTTTTATTTTTTAAATCAAATACAAGCTTCCACTGAAGTATGAATGTTAGGTTTCTCACAGATGAGGCCAAACAAATGTTAGGTTGAAAACAGTCTCCATGATCTCCTTCAGTCTCTATGCTGTGGTTCCTATCTGTTTCCCTCATTCTATAACCTCAGCTTAGTCATTCAATCAATCTGTCAACAAATACTTCCCGAAGGTATTGACTTGAAAACTAGACATTTTGGTGGGATATAGAAGTTCAGGATAGTGTTTGGATTTTTGTTTCCTTTTTGGTCCTGGGGCCAAGCTCAGTGCCCAGGTGGGTTGGCACCCAAATTCATGTGCTAAATAAATGAATGCATTCAGCAGTGAAAAGATAGAAACAGTTCTTGCCCTCGACAAGTTTACAGCCTATTTTACCGACCTTTCTCAGCAAAGTTTTGAAGGGCAGCAGAGAAAGTCAGGCCACAAGAATCTCTGCAGTTCTAGTTTTCCTTTACTTTAGTCTTTTGCTTTAATCTTGAAAGCTTGAATCTTGAAAATCGTTTGATTTCCTACTTTAGCCCTCTGACCTGAAACGGGAGGCAAAAACATGAAATGCTTCTTCTGTGGTTCACTTCAGGGGGCATTACCGGTCATCCCCAACCCTAGAAGTCCCTGACTAATTTTCCTCAGACAGAGGGAACCACTTGGAAATGGCAATATCCCTTCTTTCCTGGGCTTACAATTTTCTTTGGATTACATGGAAATCTCATTTAGATCAATTTATGGTAGAGCAGTGCCCTGACAATCCAAATCCCCGAATCAAAACAAAACAAAAGCTAGGCAGCCACAAAACGGCACGTGACTAAATTTACTGTTTGAAACTAATGCAAACTACTGAAAGCTCAGTTATATATTAGCCTAGTGATCTTGTATTATTGGTACTTTACTAGTATTTAATAATTACCAACATCATTTAATATTTAGTTAATATAATCTGTCATAGCTTATTGGACATGTAAAATGGTGCAGCTTCAATGGAAAACAGGATGGAGGTTCCCCCCAAAGTTAAAACAGAATTATCATATGATCTAGCAGTCCCACTCCTGTGTATTATCCAAAGGAACTTAAAGCAGAATCTTGAAGAGATGCTTGCACACCCATGTTCATTGCAGCACTATTCACAATAACCAAGAGACAAAAGCAACTCAAATGTCCCTTGACAGATGAATGAATAAATAAAATTATATATATATATACAATATAATATATATATATACAATATAATATTCTTCAGCCTTTAAAAAAAGAAGGAAATCCTGTCTTGTGCTTCAAACCCTCTCATGAATCTCGACATTCTGCTAAGTGAAATAAGCCAGACACAAAAAGACAAATACTATATGACTCCACTTATATGAGGTATCTAAAGGAGTCAAAAGAAAAGAAACCAAAGTAGAGTGGTAATTGCCAGGGGCTGGAGAAGAGGAAAATGGGAAGCTGTTGTTCAATGGGTACAGAGTTTTAGTTTCCCAAGATAAAAAAGTTCTAGAAATCTGTTGCACAACAATGTGAATATAGCTAGCACTACTGAGCTGTACACTTAAAAGTGGTTAAGATGATAGTAAATTTTATGTTATGTGTTTTCTAAACACAATTTTTAAAAAAGGACACTCTTAGTTATACTGAGACCTAATATTTTCTTACTTATAAGAAAGAAGATTGAAGGTTAAGGTTTTAAACCCTGTAATCTCCATATAAAATGAATCTTATTGTAGAGTGGACAGAGATTATTTCCAAATTTGCATTGAAGATTGATGCTAAGCATGCATCACTGTGTGTGAATCCTAAAAGGGAGAGTTATTTAAAATAGATTAAATGATGTAGAATAAAACTTCCAAAAGCTGTAATTGAAAGTGTCAGAAACATTAGCTTTGAAACAAGTAACATTTAATCACATAGATTATACAGAAGCATAAATTTTTGTAGGTTGTTTTCTTCAATCAAATTTACATTTTAATCTGCTGAGACTGTTCATCACTTTTGGCTGTCTGGTACCAAGCAACTTGTCAGAACTTATAAATGCAAACCGCCTACTTTGGGAATAGGACTTTTCCTTTAAGCACAAAGATGATGAAAGTTTAATTAGAATACTTCAAGACAGCAGGTGTCTGAGAGTGGTGAGATTAAAATAAAGGGCATTTTGTCTATCTGTATTTCTTTAGATACTAAATGTTAAAAATTATAATCATTCATGCCTATAAAACAGCTTGAAGGGCCAATAAAATGTAAAACTTTTCAAAAACGGACACTTGCCAAAGGACAGAATTTGACAAGATATATACTGGGGTTGGGAGAGGGAAGCCATGAGACAGACAGATACTTTCTTCAAGGGTTGGGCTGGGAGAGGACAGTTATTGGTCATTTTGGAGGACTTGCTAAGATAGGAGGGTTCCAAGGAGAAAGAACCCTCATATGACTGCAGATTTTGGCAGTTCTCTTAGTTAGGTATTAAATTCCAACTGTCCATGGAATTTGTTTTCAATATTACCAGGTTCTGGAGCAACTTTCAGTTGGACTATCAATAAAGCACAACTACATGTGGTTGCTGAGGTCATGGTAACAAACTGTAGTTTGTTGTGCATGGGTTTATTTGTATTCTTTTCCATGACACAAGTGCCACCAGGTACAAATATCATAAGGTAGAATAGGTGAAAAATGTGGGTGAATCTGTACAAAGGCAGAACCTCTCCAGAACGTCCATCTTTGGGCCAACAATGGCAGTGGCATGGATTTAAATGTTATAGTGAGTCACGTCACAGAAGATGTGGCATAAATGGCTGCCATTGTTATTTAGTGCATGAGAAAGCAGTTCCTTGGGAATGGCCAATGAGGAGACCATAACGTCACCAACAAGCATGTACTGCAACCTACTTATAAAGCATCATATCATGCTAGTGCCCGAGTGACCCAACCTGGAGGAAATCATCCCTGTCCTCCACAGAGTGAGGTAGATATCCACTGGAGATATATATCTGGAACTGGAGAACAAGTATCATGAAGTCTCAAAGAAAGAATAAATTATTTCCTATTAGAAATTATTTTATACAGAGACCCTGTCTTACCCTTTTTCTTTTTCTTTCCTTTTTCTTTATTTCTACTACCGGGAATCTATCTGAATAGAATTAAAAAATATGATACTTAACATTTTATGAACATAAAGATAGCAATTAATAGCTCCTTAGTTCCATGATAATAACAGTAAACTCCAAAATCTACTTACTTTAGCACCAGGGTAGGATAAATGTTACTCATAAGCCTAGTACTGAGTGGTAATTGTAAAGGAGACCAGGAAGGCACAATTAGTAGAATTCTTTGCTTATTATTCCTTGGTTTTTAACATTGTTCCCCTATTCCCTGTGCTCAATTCCTTACAGTCCAAGGGAGAATGAGTTTACCAGATAGCTTCTCTCTGTTACAGTAGGAATCAGCACAGACAGGCTGGGGGAAGGGTGTTGGGCACTTTAAGATGAGCTCAGTCTTGGCTCCCTTGAGTCTAAGATGTTCATGGACCATCCAAGTGGAAGTATAAAAGAAGAGCTTGCATAGTCACACCTCAGAGTTCACAATGGAGATCTAGACAGAAGACAGAGGTTGATGTACAGAGGGTAATTGATGTTGGCACACCAGGTGAGTTCACCAAGGGAAACCACACAGTGTGACATGAGAGGAGGTAAAGAGTGGATCCCTGTATGCTGGTGTTTGAGTTTCCCAGAGAGCAGCCCTTGACACAGAGTTTGGTGCTCAGGATGTGTATCGAGGAGTGCACTTGAGATCCACACCTGCAGAAAGGGTGTGAAGGAAGCAGGGTTAGGAAGAAGGAGAAGTTGAGCTGCAATGCCGCCCCCAAAAGGGTCTCTCCAGGTGGAATGACCTGTCAGAGTCATCCTATATTTGGCCCAAACTACCAGCCCTTTATGCTCTGCCTTCATCAGTTAATCATTGGATATGTGTCCTGGAAATAATGTGGACCTTACGTGAGAACCTTCTTTGCAACTGAGACCACACCAGGCTGAGCTGAAAGCAGTCCCTGTCTGTACTCTCAGTAGTTATGGTAGCAAGTCCCTGCCTATAGAGGAACCCAAGCAGCACATCCCCATGTCCACCACACTGAGAAATGCAGAAATGTAAGGGGTGAGCAGAGAAAGAAAAGCCTAAAGTTTAGAAGTTCTAAAGAGCAGGTAGAGAAGTAGTAGGGCAATAAATAGCTTGTGTGGTGTTGGAAGTGCTGGAGGCCAGAGGAAGAAGGAAGGAGTGGGCAACAGTGTTAAGTGCTATTTTTTAAAAAAACAAGTAAAATAAGGACCATCAAGTGTAGATAGATGTCAAGAGTTTATAGCTACTAGTAGAGGTACAGGGTTCAAGGAGCCATTGCTTTTACATGAAGATGAAGTACTAATGGTCCAAAAATGGCAGGGAATATTAAAAGTTACTGAGATTAAATCTTAGCCCAAAACTATGTGGGGTTGGAAGAATAGGCCAACTCCACTTAAAAAGGGCAGTTCAGATCCAGTGTCTTCAAGGGGATGTCAGGTTTCAGTTAAGGCAAGAGTTCCAAGTGGTTTCCAATATCAAAGGTTTGGTTTACCACATCGAATATTCCAAAGCACAACAGGAATGCTTAGAAGGGGAAGGAGGGAAGGAAGTGGAAGGAAGGAGAAGGCAGGGGAAGGGCAATGAGCAATATGATTTTGACCCAGGTGAAAGTGTTTACCCAGCAGCCTGGAGTGGAATGAGATTACAGGAAAGAAGGAATGCTCACAGGGCTTCCAGCGCTTTGGATGGGAATGTGAGGCATGGGAGGATCTCTAACCTCAAGATTGCCAAAATTATTTGTCTCCACAGGCCCAGTCTAAAAAGGCCTCTAGGGAAAGAGTGAATCATTTTGCCTGACTGAGGGTGTTGCAAGGGATTCCTCAGGTGAATGACAACTGGGTTGACTTGTTTTCAGGATTCCTACAAACATTAAATTCAGCAGAAGCCCTCAGTGGATGGGGGGACTTTTGGAAGGCATCAGTGGGTGTATTCCATTTTTTTTACATGATTTTTTTTTTTTTTGGTTGGGGGGAAGAGGCAGGGGGAGAGACTCTTTCAAGCAGACTCCCCACTGAGCATGGAGCCCTATGCAGGGCTTGATCCCAAGACCCATGAGATCATGACCTGAGTCGAAACCAAGAATCTGTCATGCTTCATGGACTGAGCCACCCAGGCGACAACAACGGGCATATTCTTAAAGAACTATCACAATGGCAAAATTCCTTTTTCCCTTTTTCTTCCTCTACTTTGTTCTGTGTATTAAACAATAAATATTTATTGAGAATTTATAGCTCCAGATAGCTGTCCTAGAGCTTGAAGATACAGAGATAAATAAAGCACATCTTCCATCCTCCAGATGCTCAGAGCACAATAATTCTAGCATAGTTATAACTGTCAAGAAAAATGCTATGCGACAGTCATGCAAACAAGCACTCACAACCTGGAATAAATCAGAGCCAGTCAGATATCAAGCTGTTGATAATTAAGGATTTTAATA